ATCCCACATCCTGAAAAATAAAGATTGGTTCTCTTTACCTGTTTATTACTCTTATTTGGAGCAGCCATTGACATTCGGACTTGCAACACCTCTTCGACAGTTAGGTATCTTTATTTCGAAATAAAGATACCTAACTGTTGCATATGTGTCTTACCTAACAACCTGTCGGTATTTTATACCATTTCAATGTTCAACACCTCTTCGGTTCAGGTCGGGCCGAAACGTCAAGTTTGTTTCTCCTATGTGCGGGTTAATTGTGTAGTGTTCCAGTCACGGTATTATGCCTTTTTATTCGTTACCTCTTGCACATTTTCTGCTGAGTAGCCTTCTCACGTAAGGTCCAACTTACTACCACACACATACACCGCCCACACCTAACCCCACCTTCCCATCTTTGCTACTTATAACATATCTCTCCTCCCTTCTCCACTTCATTGTATGACCCTAGTGGATTTAGCGCTTCTTTTATAGTAGTAATAATAATAATAATAATAATAATAATAATAATAATAATAATAATATGTTAATGCTGTTACCACTGTTATTACTGTTGAACAGCGGTTTAGTGCTGAGGTTACTTGTAGGTTACTTAGAAGGGGTAACGTAGAAGGGTTGCAGGAACACGGCCGATGGACTAGCTTTGGTTTATTATACGATACGTGGATTACACAGCGGGCAGAGTGGGGGGGGAGGTGACCGAAAGCCAGACCGTGGAGGGGAAGATTGTTGATCCGAGGCGTGTAGGCCGTGAAGTGAGGCCGACTGCTCATCACGTCTCACTGACCTGGGCAGGCCTAGAGAGGGCAGCACCGTAGTGCCGCGGCTTATGAAACTAACAGGCAGCATAGGCTGTCTAGCAGACAGTACAGGCTGTCTAAAAATAATTTTCCATTTCAGTGGGATATATATTTAAATAGTGTTTGGGTTTCTCTGTAGACTTAATAACGCTCACCTTTCAAGGAAACTTCTCTGTAATACGTGTTTTTATATTGCTTGTTGGCCTGTTGTTCAAGTCACCTCCAACACAAGAGACAGGACACTGGCAACACTTAGAATACACAAGAGATAGACTATTGACAGCAGCCACATATCAAGAGACCGAACACTAACAACACCCAAGTATCAAGAGACATGGCACTGGCAACTCCCACACAGAGACTTGACAAACATCACCTGTACAACACTGACTCACTAGTCCCATCAACAGAGACTGGAGGTTCTTGTCCCACAACAAAGCCCACATGGTGGCCACATACGTCTCAAGTCTTAAACATACAGCCTTGCCAACTTCTCTACTTCGTCCTCATTTTGAGCCTGGGGCCCACCATCACTACAGAACCTGGCTGGGAAATTGACTATAGAACATGGGACCACCACCCCTACAGAACCGGAGATCAAATTTTTGATGGTATACAGTACCAACAAGTTGATGATTAAGACATTAACAACACTTAGGTAATTTTATTGTCATAAAGATACCCAATAAAGCAATATAGATATCCAAGTGTTTCAAGTGTGTTTTATTTACTAAATGAGATCATTGCTACAGAATCAGTGATCACCCTTACTACAGCTTCAGAACCTGGAACCACCACCATTACTGACTCAGAACATGTAACCATCATTACTGACTCAGAATTTGGGACTATTATGATTGCAGAACCGCCTATTCCACGATATCCAAGTAAGGTTATTTAACCCAAAAGGGTCATTAACCCAGAAGCTATGTAGTATTCATTTCCAGTCTTATTTACCACTAGGTGAACATGTGGAATCGAATCTGGTTCCTTTCGAGTGTGAGGCAAACACACTAGTACTATCGAGCTATTACTCAAACACTATTGCCTGTTTGGCTAATAGGGAGAACCAGGTGCATGATCTGGGACGGACCAGGGGCGATGACCTCCGGAAACGAATTCAAGCAAACCTATAAATGACCAACAATGAGTCACACGTCATTCCTGATAACACATAAGTTTGCAATAAGTTTTGAGTATTGAATCTGGCTGAGTACACTACATCCATTGTTCTAATATAAAATAAAACTTTATTCAGATTATTAGTCCAGAGAGCTACTAGTAACCCATGCTAACTTAAGCAATGAGGCTAATTTTTATCGGGGGCCTTAGATCTTCCCAGGACGCCACCCTTAACAGTTAGTTGTTCCGTCTGGCTAGTTTATTGTGCACTCACAGCTCATCCTGTGAGCGGTTGCACAAAACAAAAAGATTGTATAGATCACAATGGGTCTTTTTCAGACCCCACTGGGTATCGTTACATTACAAAAAATATATATATTAGTCGTTTCATATTACAATTTCTTCATGTAGCTAATGAACACAATTCAATTTGGAGCTGCGATCTCAAAAAAAAAAAAAAATACTACAAGTACAAAGCCATTACTAAAACATTTGTCATTATTAGGTTGCCGTCTCTTTAAAAATTCACTCATCTTATAAACACTGAAGTGTTTTGCCATATCCTGTAGGATGCATGGAGGTGTTTCCCGAAGACTGGGAGATTTGGACACTTAAGATATAGTGCTACTGACATAGTACACTTAAGATATAGTGTCTCTGTCCACACACTTTACATTTGATTATCATTGACATTTCTGTACAAACCGTGGTGCCAGAAACTTATAAATCCTAGCCTTAGTATTGCAATAACATCTTTCAATCTGCTGATCCTGTTAGTTTCTCCATACATGTGCTTAGCTTGACACATTTTTATTTATTATCTGCTGGTTCCTGTCTGTACTGTTTTACATTATTCAAACTGACATTATTCATAAACTAGTTGAGAAACCAGAATTATATTATACATTCTTTTTATTTAATGTTTGCTTAGTTAAATTATGAACGTTTGTCAATCTCCTGGAAGCCTATGTAAGAGAATCCACTACACTGTGACTACAGTTTAACTGTAATCCTGTTCGTAACGTCCCAGTGGCGCAGTTCATTAGCGTGCGGTACTTACACGTTCCCTCTCGTAATTGTGCATATCTGTGCCTAGCTTCATACACAGGCATTCAGTTCTCAGAATTAAATATTTAGAGCTAGTAATGAGGCGAGTAGTTACAGTTACTGAGGTCGTAGTTTCCACAAGTTTTAGAGCAATAAATATGACAAACAGTTCAGTTTGTAAAGTGGAAATTATTGATTTTAATGTCTCCATATTACAGTACTGTCAGGCTGGTTTACGATAACAGTACTCCCCACCCTTCCACTGTCAGCGTATATAATAGTCCGGGTGATTCGACCTGCAGACCCACAACAATTAGCTACCATCCAGGGACATGTCTATTACTAGATGAATAAGTATAAGGCAATACCCGCCCCAAAATCGAACCAGGAGCCTTTAGTGAGTCAAAGGGGATATCACTTTACCACGATTACTATATAATCCAACATTCAGTTTTACATTTACAGTAGGAGGAATTGTTCTTCATGGATATTAACCGGAAATGCGATTCGCTGAGTAATGGTGGAGTGGGCAGTGAATGTTGATAAAGGTAAGGTTGTGTGTTATTCAAAAGTTTGGCCTTCAAACTGTAGACAATAACACGCATGTGTAGTATATTTTGGTATGATGATCCTGGCGGAGGTCCAAGATAGAGACGGGCATGTGTTGAGGGTGACTCATCTGTCTGCTACTCAGCTCTCCTCTAGGTATGGCTGGAGAAGAATAATTTCTTCGAATATTAACCCGGGATAACCCAAGAAATCCAAGTAGTATATCATAAAATTCGCCTGAAAAAATTCAAGCAGATTGAAGAGCGATTTTGTCTGTCACAGTGCTATGTATTAAGATCAGTCACGGTGGAATGTATAATTCAAAGGCTTCGCAGGTTCTGCGACTTTTAATATTATTATTATATCCCTAGGGAGGCGCTAAATCCGTAGAGAGGAATGAGAGGTAACTAGATTTGATTAGAAGAATGGAAGGGCAGCTCCAATTCTTGGGATGATAACAGCCCATCATCGCTGGAGATTTGTGTACCAGGTGGCTCTCCAGGTGCCTGTGTGGCATCTTGATGCTGACCAGAAGATTTACTCCAGAGTGTTTGTCTAGACATAAGTCTGACAACGCTACTGTGTCAGCCTAATTTTAAATTTCTCCAAGCATATTTTTAGTGATTTATTCAAATTCAATTAGTAATAGGCCATCGGACAACGCTGCACCAGCGGATTTAGCGCTTAGTTTGGAATATAATAACATGGGCCTCGATTTGGTATGGGGCATGTATCTGTCCTAACTATACCATTCAAGTAGGGTGCCTTGATGCCAGTAAAGAGTTCTTGATTCAAGGAATTGCAGTTACCCTTGTCTTCGTGAATATTAAAATGGTATACAACACCGACAGGTATTGTATAACTCTTCTCAGTCTCTTCTATTCAAGATTGATGGACTGAACACATCGACTCAAGGTTGAGGGACTGATTACCTCATTCTCCTCCTGTTCATCAAGATTCTCCTTTGTATGGACTGATGAAGCCACTGTGTGGCGAAACGTTTCCTCAATAAAGATACCCAAGAGTTGCACATGTGTCTAATTTATCAACATGTCGGTTCTTTGAACCATTCATCTACAAATTTTATTATTACATTATTATTTTCTTGAAACAAACCTAAATATCCTTATATTTCTCAAAACCCTGCGGGTTTTACGCATAACTATAATTATCACCCAAGAAGTACATTAGCCTGCGATCCGCAATGGGTGACCGAGATGAACGGGAATTATAAGACCAGTAGTAAGTAGGCTTTATATTTCCTGCAAGGAAATATTAGCATGGAAGTTTCCGTCAACGTATAACAAGAATAAACACTGCAGCAGGCCTAGTGGCCCATACTAGATAGATCTAACTCACACCCACTCATATACTACCAGTGCTACCTAAAGTTCTTGCCTCAGTGACGCTACCTGGGAGTTTGTTCCGCTTATCTACAACTCCATTGCCAAACTAGTACTTTCCTATATCTTTTCTAATGAGACA